TATCCTGTTCTAAAACCCTTAAGACGCAGGGATATAGCTCACTAGTATGGTGCTTGCCAGTTCTCCTAAAACCTTGGGTTTGAGCCATAACAGGCAAAAACATAACAGGGGCAGAATCACAGCGGTGACTCTGCCCTTTTACGCATAGGCTCTCACCCGCTGGACACTACACAACTTATTTAAACATCCTGTTAAAAGAGATTTTGGTAGTGTTTAGTTTGGGGCATTCAGAAATAAAAATGTTAACCATGCTTGTATTCTGTTTTTCAAATATACACAGGGTTTCTCTGCAAGGAGTTGAATTGCTAGGCCATTGGTAGCATCGACGTTTTTCTTAGACAGGGTCTGGTATCATCCAGGATGGTCTATAGTTTAATAATTCCCCTGCCTCAGTCTCATGTGTGTGGGGATGACATCCATGTACCATTATACCCATCCTCTGTCTTCAGTTTTTCTTTTTCTGAGATGGGGTCTCACTATGTAGCCATGGGGGCATGAAACTTACTATGTAGACCAGGCTGGCCTCCAAGTCTAAGTGATCCACCTGCCTCCAATTTCCAAATGCCGGCACTAAAAGCATACATGACCACATTTGGACTCTGTAGAGTAAGTCTACACATCTTGTTTTGCTTCTGGCTATTTTTGGTTCTTTGGTATTTCATATAAATTTTTAGAATTACTTTACTCAAATCCTATCCCAAAATCTTTTGGAATTTTCGTTGGAATTGCATTAAATTTACAAATCAATAGGAAAAGCCAAGAGCTGTGTCTTTAGTATTCTATTGGCCTAGGCATGAATGCAGTACTTTCAATCACTCAGATCTACTTTGGACTTCAATAAAATTTTCTCTATAGTCTGATATCTCTCTCTCTGCTAAATATATATGCATATCTTTCTAGTAACCTCATATTTTACTGTCTTACTCTAATTGGTATCTTTGAATGGCTTTTTTTCTGTTTATTTGTAAGGATCCAGGCATTATGCTGGCCTGCCCCTGTCACCTGGCAGAATACACTCAGGCAGTACCCTGGTCAGCCCAGGGTTCTGTGGCTAAGTAGTCTGCAGGCAGGTGCAAAGGACTCCTTTAAAAGACAGACCCCGCCCACTTATACTCTTTCCTGCTGTTCCCCTAGGGTAGACAGGACTTTTCCTGTCTCCCTCTTCTCTTCTGTCCTCTCTCTGTCTCTGCGTCTCTTCACCTCTTTTCTCTTTCCTCGTCCCCCCCACTTTCCCTTTATTTTATTTTATTATTATTATTTTGGTTTTTCGAGACAGGGTTTCTCTGCCCACTTTCCCTTTCTAATAAAACTTCTCGATAAGCTCTGTTTGCCTGGCATGTTTGTCCCTCGTCTCGTTCACCCTCTCCTGCCATATAATCCGCCAAGGTCCCCCGCGATTTATCCTGACATTATTAATGTGGAGAAATGCAACTGCATTTAATACTTCATATTCTATGAACCTGCTGGCTATTCCTAGTTTGAGTTTTCTATATTGATAATTATAATACGATGGTACTTGTGATTTTTCGTTTACTATCTCTGAACCTTTTGTTTTATTCTTGTCTTACAAGCGGTTGGAATTTCTGGCATCATTTGAATAGGATCTGTGCTAACAGGCACCACTTCTTGTCTCTGCCTTTAAAACAAATGTATCTTGGCTAGGCAGTGGTGGCGCACGCCTTTAATCCCGGCACTTGGGAGGCAGAGACAGGCAGATCTCTGTGAGTTGGACACCAGCCTGATCTACAAGATCTAGTTCCAACTATTGTGATAATGTTTCCTATAGAAACACTTATGAGCTAACAAAGGCTTTTCCAGCAACGTTTTTACTCTGTGTGTGTGGTGTGTGTGGTGTGTGTGTGTGTGTGTGTGTGTGTGTGTGTGTGTGTGTGTGTGTATCCGTGCAAATCCTGGTGTCTGTGCATGCATGTGGGAGGCCAGAGATCAGCATGAGAAATCTTCCTCACTGGTCTTCACTTTGTTCTTTAAGAGAATCTCTCAATGAATCTGCAGCTCAAGGACCAGCTTCTCAGCACTAACTCCTCACCCCTGCCAGCTTTTGCCTCGATGCTGAGGATCCAAATTCAGGTCCTCATGCTTGTACAGTGAGCACGTTCCCCATAAAGCCTTTTCCCCAGCCCTTCAGCAACGTTTTCCCTCCAGTGCTGAGGACTGAACTCAGGGCCTGTTTCACGTCAGACAAGCAGTCTTAACTTACCATTGACTTACACCCCCGGCAAGGAAGTTTTCCCTACTGGTAGTTTACAAAATAATTTTGTCATAATTAGAAGCTGGATGGGAAGGTTCTTATCTATTGCTGTGAAAATATTTCTAGTCTGCAAAGAGAGGACACTATATATTTTGTGATGCTGACAAAACCTCGTTTTCCTAGGATAAGACCTAAAAGTCAAGACTTTCCCTGGGAGAGTCAGCAGTGAAGTAAGACAAAAAAAAAAAAAAAAAAGCCTTTACTTTGCATCTCTTGGTGCTAGTCTTACTGGTTTACTCAAACCCTGTCTCCTTCAGAGTCATCCCTGATTCAAAGATCAGAGCTCTCAAAACATTTATTATGGGTAACACTCATTTGATACTTGGCATGGCTTACTATTCCATACATGACTTACCTCCCAACTAAAATACATGCCCTTTGAACAGTAGCAACTGTTAAGTATGCGATAAATCCTTGCTTAAAGTGCTTAAAATATTCTTGGGGAAAATTAGTTGGATAATAGTGCTGTATCTATGGGAGAGAAACACTTGGACATGGGAGCTTTCTAGAGAGCTAACCATTCCCTGCTCCCGCTGCCCCCCCCATACACAGAGGGAGAGAGAGAGAGAGAGAGAGAGAGAGAGAGAGAGAGAGTTTCATCAATTCAGGCTAGCCCCAAACTCTTAATTCTCCTTCCTCCAGTTTCTAAGTGCTGGATTACATGCATAAACCACCAACATTTATATGATACAGGGAAACAACCAAGGGCCAGCACCCCAACTGAGCTATCCTACTCCCCATTTTAAAATCTTAAATTCACTGAAACTTTAAAATCAGTTTAAATTACCCGTTTGTACTTCACTTCCCTGACTTGTTGACCAAGCATCATAACATGTCTTATGCATCTCTTGATATGATGGGGACTTAACTTTGTCTTGTTGAGAACAGTCTACCATTAAGCCTGCCAGTTGTGGACCTTGACGGAGATACAACTGTGGTGTGCAGAACCTCAGCTGTGATACTGAATAAGGCCTCATATCAAGCGGGGAGGGGTGTTTTTCCCTCTAGTTAATTTTTAGCAGCAAATAACACTTTTCCTCTTCTACTCTCCCAATAAGAATAGAAATAAAGCTCTGTGTAGCAACGCTACTATACAAAGTTACAGTTTTTCCAGATTAAAGCTTTCGGCTAGTTTTTCTACTGTGAAACTTTTTCTTTGTAACCACTCTACACTGACCTCATCCCTTCCTCCTAATCTCTAGAAGGGGCACTGGAGCCAAGCTGCCTGGATTCAAATTCCAGTTTGTCAGTTAAGAGTTGAACTCCGTAATAACAAGTTAATTGATCTAGCCCACCCTCAATGTCTTCATTGGCCTCATGAGATTGGGTGAACGAGAATTAAATGAGTTAGCACTGGCAAAGTGTTTAGAACACAGGCTGTTATCAAGCATTAAATAGACGGATAAAACACGATCGGTTTCAAATCCATCACTCTCATCTTTCTCCCTTGGGTATTTCTCACCACTTATGAATTGTGATTGTCATGCTGACAGGGGGTGTGTGTGGGGTTCTCCAGGGTGGAAGGAAGTGTAGACAGCAGCATTCTTTCTATTGATCCATACATCCATCACTCAGGAAGAGGGAAAGCCTCGGGGTGTCGGCACCACTGCTCAACCAATGACAGGATGCAGGTAGGGAAATGGGGATAATCCAGGGGACATAAAGGACTACAACTTTCAAGTATTTTCGGGACCTGGCGGGAACAGAGGCAACATTTACAAGTCTATGGAATAGTGACAACTTCACTAAAAGTGCTTATTATACAAGGCATCGGTGGCCAGGTGTGGAGGTTTTTGTAAGAAATGATTTTTTTTTATTTAGAGTCAGATAATTTAAGACTCTCCCTCTAAAATCTTGGCAATCCTGGCATGAGTCACCAAGATGTTACACCTCAGTATGAGTCACCCATCGCCAACGCTCAGCCAAAGACAAAACTCTTGGTGAAGTTTGGCATCGAACCACAGCTGTAGGTGAGGAATTCTAGCCCTCAGGTTATGGATACTTCAGCTCGGAGAAACAAACCTTTATTATTTTTATTATTATTAACTACTATTATTATTATGCACATCACTTAGCTGTTTCTAGACTCCTTTTATAACCCACAAATACAGTAGTAATGCATTAATCCCAACTGAGACCTGGCCCAAAAAAAAAAGTGTGCATGGGGATTAAGCCCCAAGCACTCCTTTCCCCCCTGTCATTCTGCAGAGACCAAGCAGACCAAGACGGACAGGCGAGTGACAAGGAGGGACAGGACAGGTGGCCAGAGTGGGTGGGAGCTGGGCCAGCACACACACACACGCACGCACACGGTCAAGGGAGAGGGACAAAGGCCTTGGAGACCGTGTCGGGGTGGGAGGCAAACCGTGGCGCCTGAGTCTGCCCAGGGGCCCTGGTCTGTCGTGGGATGTGGACGCCGGCGGTGGCGGAGCCGCAGGGGCAGCCGGCTGGGCTCCGGGAGCCGGGGGACCCCGCGGGCAGGGGCCTCACGAGGCAGCGGCGGCAGCACCGGGCGATCCCGGCCGCCTAGGCCGGACCACGCACCTGCTGGGCTCGGTGGCCTCACCGCGCGCCCAGCCAGGAGCGGCCGCCCCGCCCCAGGCCCCCACGCGAGTCCGGGACGCGGGACGGCGCCGCCTCCCGCCCCGCCATCTATGCCCCGGGCCCGGGCCGGCTAAGAGCGGCGGCCGCCATCGCGGGCCGCGCACACGGGGACTCGGGGCCGCGGTACCTGAGAAACCAGGGGCAGCAGCGTCTGCTCCACCGAGCGCGTTCGGATCTCCAGCCCCGGGTCGAAGGCGAAGCCAGACGTCCTGGAGGAGTGGACAGCTCCCGCTCCCGCGCCGCCGCCGCCGGGGACCGGAGACGCGGCCATGACCCGGCTCTGGTGGCACAGCCCCAGCCCGCAACCGGCAGTGCGGGGCCCGCCAGCCAGCCAGCCCGCCGCCCGCCGCCCGCGCCGCGCTGCACCGAGGCCCCGCCCCCTGCGAGCCTTGTGCCTCCGCCCAGGCCCCGCCTCCCTGCGAACCCGGGCCCTAGAGCCCCGCCCCCTCGCGGGCACCACCGCCTCGGCCCCGCCCCCACCCCACCCTCGCTAGTCCCGCCCCCACCCATGCCCCACCACGTCCCCTCCCACCTACCCCCATAGTCAGAAGCGCCACCGTGGTGGCTCATCAGATCCGCCCCTAGGGCGGCACGCCCCTTCTAGCTCCACCCTAATCCCCGGGAGCCCCACCTACCCGCTGCCATTGTCCCGCCCCTCCCGCACCACTGCCTCTTTGGGAGGTGAGCCAAGACAGATTTTACCCAAAGCAAGGGGAGTGAGACACCTGAGGAGCCTCCCCACGCTCACGCCGCCTCTCACCAGAAGACGACCGTCCCCAGCAGAGGTTCCCGCCAAATCCATTTCCCTCAAAAGTCAATTCTGAATCCTCACAAGTGTTCCTGCAAGCTTTGATGGGGTTGAAATGGCAGGGAACCCCCGCCCCGGAATGGCAAGTATACTTGTAATTAATTATCTTTCCATGGCTTTCCAGGAAGGTCCACCCGATTTCCCCTTCACCCCTATTTCCTGATTATATTATTTCTCACGCGGAGTTGAGACATTTGATAACACATTCACCTAAGTACCCTGATAGCAGGAAGGCAGTGGATCTTACAGGCGGCATCTTTAGAATTCACTTTCAGGAGAATTAAAAACAAAAGTTGCACTCACTGACTAATACTCCATCTTTAAAAAAAAAACTACTTTCCGCAGTTATTTTCAATATTAGGCAAGAACTAGCAGCGTGTTAACTGCTCCTTCAAATAAAAGATTGTGTCTATTTCTGACTGAAGTCACTTAAGGCTAAGAATCCGTGCTCTTGGCCCAACCATGAGCTCACACAGAATCCCTGAGGTGACAGGGAGTGCCAACACTCCTTTTCCTCCCATTTCCAGGAACAAAGCCAAAGGAAGGCTTTCAAAAGCCCGCACCTTAGGAAGGTTCTAGACTTAAGCAACTGACCGAGAAGCCTAAGAAAGTATTTTTGAAAGGACCATACTGCTAACAAGCAACTACGGAGGCAAAAAGGAATCTGAAACTGGCTATCTCCATCAATGGGTTAGACTGATGGGTTCAACCTGTATAGTATTGAAAGCAAACTTGCAGGGCCCAGCTTCATTGGCCAAGCAGCATGGGTATCTGGTAATGGAGGTAGCAAAACAACGGCTTCGCTTCTTCCTTAAAAAGAAGAGCTCCTGAATTCAACTCCTCATGATTATTTTTTCTTTTAAATTGTGTTTATATGTTGGAATGTGCAGTGCTTGTGAAAAACAGAGGCATAAGATCCCCTGGAATTGCAGCCACCCAATATGGAATCCAACGTGGGTCTTCTGGAAGAGCAGTAAGTATACAACCCTTAACTACTGAGTCACCTCTCCAGGCCCCTTGTCTTCCAATTTTTACCTTCAACCACCATCCTCACACTTTATCTACGAGGCTGCCTCTCTCCAAGGCACTGAGGACTCCTGCCTCATCTATGGACCCTTTGGCTTCTTAAGGTGCAACCATGTAAGATAACCAAATTTCACAAAAATACAGGCACCAGTATCAATACTGGCACCAACTGTAGGATGTGCAGGGAAAGTCTGGATAAAGATCAAATCTCTCAAAAAAGAAAAACAAACAAAAAAAGAAGCACAGTTTATTACCCATTTCATCCAACATTTGTGACTTTATTTCAAAATAGAAATATATTACATTTTACAAAGATGTTGTGACATCAATTAAGTTGTGAGAGCAAATTAAAGCTAAGAAACAGCACGTATGTAATAAAGGATATTTATGGTTGCATTTGAATGCTAGTTTTCCTGTCAAACCATTTCTCTCCTTCACCTGAGAATGCATAGGAGATGCATTTGCAGAGCTAAATAACTAACAACAGTATGTTCAGTGTTAGTTTCACAGTCAGTGTTTGAAGTACAAGTCGCACTGCAAGGACGAAGGAGGGTTTTTTCTCTAGGACAGTTACAGTAAGGGTTACACTGCTGGGTCACCCCAATACAAAGGATTTCGTCCCTCACAATAAGCAAAGCCACTGTTAGATCCGTTTCCATACCTTCGCCGTATACATAAAGCTAGAAGGAAAGACCAGTATAAACAGCTTTGGACTTGGAGTCAGAGACTGTAACCAAATTCTGGCTCCATCCTTTTGTGATCTATAATTGGGAGAGAGGAGGGTGGGGGAGAGAGAGAGAGAGAGGGAGGGAGGGAGGGAGGGAGAGAGAGAGAGAGAGAGAGAGAGAGAGAGAGAGAGAGAGAGGCATCAACAAAAGAGAGAGAGAGAGAGAGAGAGGCATCAACAAAAACACACTTCTCGGAGCTTCCAGTGCCTTATCTGAACAATGACTGTAATACTATCTATTTAGCTCACAGGGTTGAGCCCAAAGGTGCCTGAAAATTATAAAGTGCCACACAAAAGCATTGCCAAGACGCAGTGCCAATATCACCAGTGTATTTTGCAATTTAGGTGATTCTTGGATAACTTGGGGATACTGGCTTTGCCTGCCACCGCTGGGAAAGAACATCTTTCCTGCGAGGTACAGCTCTGGGCAGCAATGTGTGTTCTTTCTGGTGTCTCCCCAGACCGCTGGGCTTTCCTGCCGTCCCACGGAAGCCCGGCAACACATGCACTGCCAGTATCCTCACCAGCAACGTCTTCTATGAGACCTGTAAACCTGATCAAGAGCGCAAAGGGACCTCGGGTCTTTCCAGATGCTCAGAGGAAGGAAAGCTGGGAGAATAGAGGTACAGGGTACAATGAAAACAGTCTGCCCTCCCTAAATTCACAACATGTCCTGGCATAACAAAAGCATCCCAGGGGAAGGAGATAACTTAGCATTCCTCAATTTTAACTGACCATGGAATCTCCCTACCCCAGCAGGTTTTTCTCCTACAACTTCATTAATTCTGCAAACAACTGCTCTACAGAACATCTTCGTCATCTTCTTTTTTTGGTGACAAAAGTGGCTGAGCTGTGAGGAGAAGGGAAGAAACGCAGGTGGGCTGAGAGGGACAGGATCTACATTCCACTCCTGATTCTGTTGTTGCTAACTGGCTCTGTACCATAAGCTGCTTTACCCATAAACCTGTTTCCTTCTCTAAAACAACCTCATCTCATTACAACAGCCCATCCAAGTACCAAACTTCTGTGACTGGTAAGAAGAATCTTCATGTACAATTCTCTTTAAGTTATCAATTAAAAAAAAAAACTTAAAAGAAAAGAAAGCTGCTTGGTGGCTTCAGATAGGTGTTTTGCACAGGCTTTAGTAAGTTAAAAAATATGAACACATTTGAGGACAAAAATAGCAAAGACAAGAAACTGATTAAAAAATAAATAGAAAATAAATAGTAGTTGTTCTTTGCAGGAACTGAAATTTAGAAGTTGCCACAAGCGATTTTTACTGTGAAAAGGCATTCAAAGTCCCACCGTGATACTTTTAGAAAGGCTGTGGGAGACCCTCAGAAGATACTGGAAGGTCAGGATTGGATTATGGGAAGTTTAGCATTCTAGTCTAAGCCCGGTTGACCTTCAGCTCCCAGCGTTTCTTGCCTCACTTCTGAAACAGGCACTCATCAGAGCGGGGAACTGGAGGAATGCACAAGTCCCGAGGAAGCAAGGTGAGCTCTTTCGAACAGAAGGCCTCCCCTGCAAGTTCTTTACTGCCTCTACACGGGACAAGCAGCCGCCATCGCAAAAGCCACAGTTTGGACACAGGGGCTGGCTGCACATAATACAACCTGGGTACCTTTCCACAGTCACGAGCCAAGCCAGACTCACCTCAGAGTCCAAAGGGGAGCAGCCAGCTCTTAGGGAAGAAGGGTTAGGAGACTCACAGCTTTAATAACACCTAACACTGGCAGCCAAAGAGGCCCATAGATCATGTCTAAAAACCAGAGTGTAGGATTCAGGCAGGGGGACATCACATGGGACTGATGCTCCCAGCCCTGAACTCATTCTCTCATACACACAGCTTCCCAACAACTCTTGAGCCCACTCCATTTAAAAGGGTCAGAGAATGGGAATCTGAAGCTAACACAATCCAAGACGCTAAGACAGAGTTCTGTCCTCAGTTTCACTGAAGTTACTTTTGCTTCATGGATGCATTCTATACTCACACACAAATAAACACACTGCATCCTACACACACACATACTCACATACAAATAACATACTGCATTCTACACACACAGACACACACACACCAAAAACAAAACAAAAAAACAGGTAAGGCATAGATACCATCTCTGTTCCTAGGGGAACTTCTTCCTGGCTCAAATTCCCATGCAAACACTTCAGGGTAGGGCAGAGACTCTATCTATCCTAGGAAAATATTGTAAACCTCCTCTCTGTTCCTGGTACATGCCAGGGTGCCTTTTTGGTTCCAACCTACCTAACTGGTGGCCTTCCTGAATTCACTGTAGCAATGGAGTGGTGTGTGGCAACGTGGGGACCTCTGCTCCTAAAATTTCAGGAAAGGCTTGGGTCAGTGCCATTAGTTTAGGAAGTTCAGAGTTCCCCATGAACAACTTCACATTCAGATTCAGAACTATTCTACCAACAGCTACGAATCAGCTCAAACTCAGGTTTTTGCAATTTTGCTTTTACATGGCTAAAAGCACATTGGAGCAACATAATTTGTATACGTATACAAACCACTGTATCTATTTGCCTCTTATGAGCATGTGCTAATTATAGCTATAAACTTACCAGGTTATGGTAAACAAACACAAACTTGGTTCCTCTCCTCAGGCATTTTAATACAAGAATTTTAGATTTAGTATATGATACATGATCTGGCCGGCGTTTAAGGTGAGAGGCTGCCTTTATCGCCCACAGCACCCTGTACAGTCCCCGGCATGGTGCCTAGAGTTTACTAACACTCAAGAAATGTGTTAATGAGCAACTGATTAAAGAACACAGTAAGGGATCTAGTGGCCAAATCTAACAGGTAACGGGATAATCAGTCATAAATGTTGAAGGATTCATGATACAGCCGGGAGACCTGCATGTGTTCCACTTATACACAGCCAAGTCAAGACACTGCAGTGTGTGGGGTTTATGACTCGTGACATAAATAACGTTATAAACTTAGCCAGATGCTTTACCAAAACTTAACTTTAGTCTTAAGTGCTTTCAAAAAAAAAACTTTGACAGAAATCCCTTCTGCTTCACATTCCCTCTGGGCACGGGCAGGGCTGCTGACTGAACAGCCAGCTAGGAAGGTGCGCGGAACTAGGAGACAGCCTTCCTTCCTATCATGCCGTGAAGCAGGACAAGCTTCCCTTCACCTGCAGGGAACGTGCGACAACACCTGGGGTCACAGGGCTGGAAAGCTGCTGGTACCCTAAGAAAGCAGATGTGAAGTCGGAAGACGGGAGACCGCGTCTTACGGCAGCTGGCGGCTCTGCACTGGCCACTGCCCCGAGGCTTAGTGGCCCCAACAAGGATGACACTGTTGAGAACGCAAAGCCGAGAGAGCGGGTGCGAACAGAGTGGGAAGCTGACCACGTAAAGCACGATGCTGGCCGCGTCGTATCTGAGATGCGCAGAAAGTTAGTGAAGCCCAGCGACAGTCACGTGTGCAAGGCACTGTGCTAAGTTGGCAGAGAACACAAAAGTCTGCTGCCAAGAAACTTACTGGTACAGTTCCGAGTAAAGACCTGGGGACGCACACAGCAAAGCAGAGGACCACGGCACCCGAGAGTCTCTTCTCGTAAAGGACTTAAGAGGAGAGAGTTGACGGCACGGGTGCTATTATTACACGGCCGCATTCATGGCAGCTCAGTGAGGGTCTCCATCCAACGCGGTCAGAAAGGCTGTAGAAATTTGGCAACCCTGAAAGGAAAGGCGGAGGGGAGGGAGGAGGGAAGAGCTCCACGCCTGTCACAGCACACATACCCCACCATCTCTTCTCAGGCACAGACACCTTTCTCCTCCAAGAAGGGGTGGCGGGGTTCTAAAAGGGTGTGAGACTCATTTCCCCTGCTTATCAAACCAGACTCCAAAGTGAAGGCCTCGTCACTGAAAGGGGGCTAAGAACTCCTGAGGCAGGAGAAAAATTACACTGGAAATACAAATACTTTTAATGGCAGTCATTCTAGGATCCTCAGGGTAACTTCATAAATACGCATTGCAGTAGACAATGAGGGGCAGTTTAAGCCTTGATGCCAACCAGTGCGCGAACTGCAACCTTTCAAGCCATCGTAGCGTGAGCTGTGGGCACACACCGTTTCCGACTCAAGCCGTGTTTTAAAACGCAAAGCAGCCTAGAGCGAGTCCTCAGCTTCTCTTCTGGAGCCTCTGCCTGCCAGACACAGCTGACAGGACAGAGGCCACAACTGGGAGAATTCACTGTCGAGGTAGAACTCCCCAGAGGGGTCACAGCAGTAAAGCCATGTCAGTCTACTGAAGATTTCAGATCCTCAGAGATGTCACGGAAAGTCCTAAAAAAAAGAAGACAGAACGGTTGGTTTTGCTTTGGAAAGGGGCAGAGACAGAAAAAAAGAAAAAAAAAAAAAAAAGAGAGAGAAAGTCAGAAGGAAGGAGGGAGGGGAAGGCCAGAACCAGTTACCATACAGAATCACATTATTTCACAACCTTCCAGAGGGAGAAGAGATTACAGTCACTATTTTTAGTATTTTCACAAGATTGTTTCAAAATCTACTGGTTAGCCCTTATTCTTTATAAACAAAAGCCCAGTTCTGGTCTGAGTCCATTATCTTTTTATCCAAAAGACTTCCCCAGACTAACTTGAAACCGCATATGGCTATGTGACTGAATTTTGGCTAACGAGATGTTCAGAGAAATGTGCAACTTTGGGCAGTGTTTTCGCTCTTAGAACTTCTAACTAGCTGCAGAACAGACATGATGATCTTAAAGAGATTAAGTCTCGCAGATCAGATTAAGTGCGGAGTGGCTAGACTCCTGTTAGGGAGTAGGAACCCTGGAGCAGCACAGAGCCCGAGCCCCGCAGGACAGAGTTCCAGGCAGATGTAGAAAGACATTTTCATCACCTGTCTTGTACTATGGCTGCCCTATGTCAGACGAGCTAAGCGAGCACTGCCACGTGCCAGCTGGTATCTGGACTGGACAGAAAGATCTGTTGCACAAAGGTTTCTACTCAAGAGAGTGGTGACCAAACAGCCCTGGATATGACTGACTGGCCTGAGTCACAATGTCACTCAGCAAGGCTGGGGTTCTTACAGACAGCCAAACGGGCAGATCAGAGCTTCTGAATGAACATGAGCTCCAGTGTCTTAGAAAGCTACAGGTCGAGGCTGGAGCAGCACTCTGATGGGGAGAGGATGGGCTTGAGCGTCTAACACACTAGACCTGGGATGCCCCTCTGGACTTCCTCTAAACAAGTAAAGAATGATGGCCTGTCTTCTTTACATTGTTTTGACTGCAGCTAGTGATGGGTTATAGGGTTTCTGTTAACAGCAATGTTAGCATTACTGAGGCAAACTTTCCTGACATAAAATATATATGGACAGTTTACTAGCACCCGTCTAGAGATAAACCATACTGCTTCTCTTTAACAGAGTCACCAGGAAGGAATAACAAAAGATATTGGACACGAAAACACTAGCATTTTTCAAAATCCAAAAAAAAAAAACTGAGAGCTTTGACTGCATGTATGTAGATGCTTCATGTGCATGCCTGGTGCCCAGAAGAGAGCATCCGATTCTGTAGGACTAGGGTTCCACACGGTCGTGGGTAAGAAACGGAGCAAAAGGAGGGTCCTCAACAGCAACAAGCAGACCTAACCACTAAGCCATCTCTCCAGGCCTTGTGACCATATAAACACAGCATGTTAAATCACTGATCCTTTTTAGATCATTTTCCTCAAGGTTGGGTAAAGTTAATTTTGTTTTTATAGCAAATCAGCCACTAGTTATCACAATGTATTCAACGTTTTCATTAGAAACAGAACCAAAAGACAACACTGGGTTAAGTATACTCAGTTAAGGCAGCAGTGTCAACCAACCACACACAGCACAAGGCTTTTTCCTCAACAGCCTACAAAGCAAATCTAGCTTCGAAAGCAATCCCACAATCTTGCCTCCTCCTCAACTGCTTCAGTTTTAAGCATTTCCAGTCCACACAAATGCACAAGGTTAGATAAACCAGGAATAACCTGAAGCCTAACCTTAGGCTACAATGCACAAAGTCCTAAACATCTTCATCTAAGCATCATGGGAGACACTAATAGGTTCAGAAAGAACACCTCAAGAGCCAGGCCTGATGCATGCCTTTAATCCCGTAACTCAGGAGGTGGAGACAGATGGATCTCAGGTGAGTTCCGGGCCAGCTGGGACTACATGTTTATCATGGACTCAGCACACACAGCAAGTCTCAATAAATGTTAGAAGTGTCACGCGTGCTGTTACGACTTAAACCGCCCAGACTGCCCATTAAAAGAGGGGTGCATCAAGCACAGACAGCCAGTACAAGCACCCACAAACAGCTGGGGGTTGGTAGGGTAAATCCAACAGGCAACCACTGCAACTGGGCCACCCCTGAAAAGAAGGAATTCTGAGGCAGCAGTAGAAGGAGCCTAAAACTACCTAAATTCACTCAGCAAAACCCCCTCTACGGTTCAGAAGTAGGTAACACGAGCTAACTGGGGGTGGAGGCTAAGCAATGAATTTCTGCTAAGAAAGCCTAGGACACCGCCTCCCCCTCCGCCCCCTCCTACTACCCACACAGCTGTCACTTCCTCCCGCTCCTTGGAAGTAATTAATTTCTTTTCTCTGGAGACAAGGAGGAGTTCTGACTAGGAACAGTGGGCAGAGATGCGAGCGGGCTGAGTGTCAGCACAGGGCACGGAGGCCACAGCAGATCTCTGCATCCTCAACTCATCGCCCCTTCCCTGCTCCTGGCTGCAGCAGGGCTTGCTACCTCCAACCAGGAGACCTGAAGATCTGTGGAGAAGCAATCACCTCACAGAAGGGAGCAAAACCCACAGCCATCATGGGCTGCACGGGGCAATGGACTTGTCAGGTTAAGTAAGTCATGACCATGTCAGTTTACCATGGGCCAAACCCCAAAAACCTTCACCGTCTGAAAGCATTTGCACAGGGAAAAGTCAAAGCCTTTGTGTCTCTCACAGCTGGCACAGTGAAAACTGTCCACAAGTATGAATGACGGGAGGAAATAATGGTGGTTATCTATTGGTCCTCATATCACCTTTCCCAGCGCCCTGACTTGACGATACAACTCCCTACTTCCAGGAGAAGAGAAAGAAGTCTCTTGTCTCTCTATACTCATTTATTTTGTTTCATCTTAAAGTAACTCTTGTCAAAATCATTAGAAGACACACACACCCTAGCCGGGCGGTGGTGGCACATGCCTTGAATCCTAGCACTCGGGAGGCAGAGGCAGGCGGATCTCTGCGAGTTCCAGACCAGCCTGGTCTACAAGAGCCAGTTCCAGGACAGTCTCCAAAGCCACAGAGAAACCCTGTCTCGAAGAAAAAAAACAAAACAAACCAAAAAACAACCAAACAAAAGAAGACACATATCCCTCCCCCCAAATAACAGCAAAACATTAGCAAAATTTGTTTTTCTTTCTCCAGTGCCCCGAAGAGACCAGGCTTTCCCTTCGTTTCCCTTTACACGGACCCTGGCACCTGTGTGGTACTACACACCACACGCAGAAAGCTAGAGTGCAGTGTGAATTCAGCAGGCCCGGGCTTCACCGTGAGACCGCCTCGAGAAAAACAGGAGGGGGGGATGGAAAAAAGACCTAGGCCACCCCACTTGATGAGGCCTTTGTAGTCACCTATGTCCCGTGCTCTGTTCTTTTTGAGGAAACTAACTTTTCTTAGCCATCATTAAAAGGGTGCATTAGATGAGGGTGTGGTGGCACACATCTTTAACCCCAGCATCTGGAGGCACAGGCAGGAGGATCTCTGAATTCCAGGCCAGTCAGGGCTACAGGGAGATCCTGTCTTAAGAAAAAAAAATATTAGCTCCAATGGGCTTCTGAGCACCCAACTCCAACTCAGAAACCACTACGTTCAATTCAAAATATATGACATTTAAAACAGAATGAGCAGCACCACTCTTAAAATGTAAGTGGACTGTCAGAACCAAAAGAACTCAAATACACTGGAATATACGACCACAGGGAAATCAGTGCTTTCCCACTGAAGACAAACTGAACAATGTAATACAGTAATCTAGAAGTTTAAAAAAGTTTGTTCTTGTCAGGCAGTGGTGGTGCATGCCTTTAATGCCAGCACTCGGGAGGCAGAGGCAGGAGGATCTCTGTGAGTTCTAGGCCAGCCTGGTCTACAGAGTGAGCGCCAGGACAGCCTCCAAAGCTACAAAGAAACACCCTGTCTGGAAAAAACAAACAAACAAATGGTAAGTATTACAAGCAAAAACACTGTCCACACAAGGTCTGTCTCAAGAGTGCACAGTACACTTTAGAACGTGTTCAAAACTATTCTGAAAGTGACTACTGCCAGAATATCAATCAGGAGAAATGTCGGATGTCAACAACGTATGAGAAAACTTGAGGACTAACAGAAATATGTTGCATGGATAGTGAGTGCTTAGAGACTGTTACCCTGACAAATCTAGATACAGGAAATCACTGAAAGCAGACCGGGCAGTCTATGTGTACACATGGGTACCGTCTCGATGCTGAACTCACCGCTGAGGCTGAGCAGGCCACGGTGTCTGGTTTGGTGTGGGCACAGAATTCGTAGGGCTCACTAGCATGGCACTGTAGATATTGGAAGCAACCACAAGTATGCAGAGCAGGATGGGCCCAATGATTGCTCCTTCCAGGCCCAGGTAGTACGCTCCACCAGCCACAGCTAAGCCAGTCAGGTAAGGGTGGCCCCCTCTGGAACACAGAGCACACCGGTTGAGGGACTTCTAATGAGCACCAGTGGTGGAGTAAACCCCAAGTACATTCTAACACAACGTTGGCTCTCTAGTATTTCAGGCTTTACTCCACTACTAGCTTTCTGTAGACTGCGTCAATGCAGAATCAAGAACACTGTAATAGCACTGAGACACCAGGACTTTCTTGCATATGTTCCAATGAGTGACATCAGCCTCTCTTCACAGGACTAGCTGTTACCAGGCAGTCTGCACCCATTCCACACGGCTTCCCGAAGACAACTCCTGCTGGTAGTCTAAGCTACCTGCTAGGTTACTTCCTTTAAGGATAACAGTGAGTACAGTTTAGTGTGCATTCAGTTAACTATGGCTTCTTTCATAAAACGATAATTACAGTTGTGAAAAATAGTAACAGCAATATGCCTACTCTCAGTTAAGACCTTTGGCAACCTTCTAAAAATATGGTTACCACAGGTGTAATAAAAGGCCACATAAGGAAAGCATGTGTCAACAAAGCCGGGACTTTTACTTCACAGGCGTCATAACTGTCCCGAGGCTTATCATGGCATCGCTGGCTTCACGGGATGGAGTCGGGCAGATACAGCAGCACAGCACAGATAAGCCTGGTCTCTGACGTAAGAGGGGTGAAGAATGGTCACGGTCTGTCTGTTTATAGTTTTTAAATGACACACACGAGTGGAACATTTTAATGGGGGTAAATAAAGACTCAGCAAGGATGTTTGATAATAGATTACAGTTTACAAACACACACAGCAAACAAAAACATGATGTTTATAATTTAGCCCTCTTCCTTCTTTCAAAGAGAGATTTATAGCAGTGGTCCACATATGCCAGGTAGACTTTCCCTAAACAACATGTTTGAGGAAAATTGCAATCAGAAATTCTTAAGGCTTAAGTGGAGGAAGAGAGGACTTTTATATAAAAGCTTAATTAAAAATATAATTTAGGGCTCTTGCTCTCTCTGCTCTTTCTGGCTCCTGTCTCCCCCCTCCTCTCTTTCTGGCTCCTGTCTCCCCCCTCTTCTCTTCTGCTCTCTGTGTCTCTTTACCTCTGTTCTCTTTCCTTCCCCCTCCCACCCCTTTCTAATAAAACTTCTCACTCGATATGTATATAAACACACACACACACACACACACACACACACACACACACACACACACACACACACACACACACAAATTTAGGGCTGGAGAGATGACTCAGCAGTTAAGAGTACTGACTGCTCTCCCAGAGGACCCAGGTTCAAATTGCAGCACCAACGTGGAAGCTCATAACTGTTTGTAACTCCAAGATCTGACACCCTCACACAGATATACATGCAGGCAAAAAACCAATGCACATAAAATAAAATAAATTATTAAAATGTATAACATACACCAAACTTTTCAAATAAAGCATTTGTTATGAGAAAATCACATATATAAACCTTAAATTAAACTATAATCCTTAATATAAACAATTTACAGCAAAGTTTAAATACACAGAACACAAGTATAAATCATATACTGTTTAAACCTCAATTTTTAAAACATCAGTTTACCACAGTACTGATGATTCTGTGGTGGGCTGCTTTGAAGCAGAGTCTCACCCTGTGGCCCTAACTGGCCAGCAGCTTGCAGTGTAAAACAAATGGCTTTGAAATTTAGGTTACTTTCCTGCCTCGGCCCCTCAAGTGCTGGGCTCCAACGTGTGCACCACTAAGCCAGGCTTTGTTTCTGAGGGAGCTATTTCGTTTGTTTGCTGGGCTGGAGACTTTTACTTCTATGTATGTACTGCATGACCACAGGCCAGAAGAGGATCTTGGATTCCCTAGAACTGCAGATACACAGTTGTGAGCTGTCCAATGTGGGTGCTGGGAACCAAACTCAGGTCCTCTGGAAGAAGAAGACACACTCTAACCACGGAGACAGTCCTCCAGCGCCAGGCTGTCTCTGATGCTGAAACAGGGTCTTGCTACGTAGCTCGAGTGGGTCTCCAACTGGCAGTCCTCTCGGCTCAGATGCCTGAATGCTGGGGTCACAGACCTGGGCAACAACTTGTGGCAATTTTACTTTTCCCTCGTGGGGGGGGCGTATAAATTCCCCTCTAGGATGGATTGGGGTTGCCTGTTTGATTCACTCTGGTTCAGTGGGGACTCTGCACTGTTCTGCACTATTTCCTGACTTTAACTTATTTGAGAGGCAATAAGTCACCAGATAACTTAAATCTAGAAAACTTGAAATAGCTCTAGACAGCTGTTTCTAGACGTGGAGGCCCTGTCCAGCTGGCCTTTAAGTTTTTTTGCTTTTGAGACAAGAATGTCCCGTTGTAGCCCTGGATGGCCTCGAACCGGCTATGTAACCCAAGCTGACTCTGAAGTCACAGGGATCACCAATTTGCCTCTGCATCCTGAGAGATGGGACTGAAAGTGTGCGACCATCCCGGGTGTGTTCTTCTGCCCCCCTCCCCATCGCCCACTCCACAGGCACTCCACCCCAGTACAACTGACAGTACACGGAACGAGGCCAGAGGTGAGCCTCAGTTGTCACACAGAGTTTAGGTGGCTGAGGCTGGAGGACTGTGAACTGGGAGGTCTATCTGAGCTACACAGTGAGATCCTTTCTCAACACAATAATCACCATAATAATGAAGGCAATGCATGCATTAACTGTTTGGGGTGGGTTGCGTAGGCCATATTCTGAATTTTAAGTCACAGGTATAAATCCACTTGGTTGGGACGGAGAGTCTAATGAACAATGTGAATCTGGACACGTGTCTAAGAGACAACCTGCCTGAAGCCTGGACACAGTGTCTATACAGGAATCAAAACTTAGAGAGGTGCATCCGCATCGCGCCATCAAAGTTTGACTGGTTTTAGGGAGAAGCTGTGTCCCTCATGAACCACACAGTATCTCAACAGCGCGAGGACATTGGAGCACACTGAGGCTCACCTTACGTTAGGATCTGCAGATGTACAATTGCATAATCATTGTCTCCAAGGGCAAAGCAGCACTGAAATAAATAACTCTTTACAGTATTTAAAATATTTTACGTATGCCTGGTAATGTTTCTTTCCTAGGCTAAATGCCACAAAAATCAAAACATAACTGTGCATAATTTTATCTTTAACTTGAGGCTTTATAGATCTTACATAATAACAATCATATTCCGATCACAGCAATATTATTCTACATCCAAATTTCACTGTCAGGGGGGATCAAAAAGGCTACCCAGCTGAAAAAATTCTGCCTATAGTCTTTCCCCATCTCTCCCCAAACTGAGTACCCTGACTTAGCAAGAACTTGAGAGCACTTACCCTGATATGTCGGAGTAGATTGCAGTGTCTACGAAGTATGTTGGCAAGAGATGAAAGACCAGGAGCAAGATGGCCTTACATCCTAACCCTTGTGTCAGCCACAGGTCGAGAACGGCAGGCACTGCTGCCCAATATGTCCCCAGAAATGGCACCGCTCCAAGGATTGCTGCCAAAGCTAACACAGGAGTCAAAGAAAAGCAAACAACGTCACTGACAAAACAGTAACAAAGCAGGAGAACCCACGCACTACCCCTCCCTCCCGGAAGGCAGCCCATTGCAACTGGAGGCCCATCTATGGTTCCCAACATCCACATGGCATTCACAGTCACTGTAAACCCCAGTCCCAAAGGATCTGACATGCTTTTTTGGTCTCTGCAGGTACTGCACACGTGTAATGCAAATACATACACCCATGCATGCAAACACTCACACACATAACATAAAAAAATATCATTGTCAAAAAAAACACCCAAACAGCTGGGCAATGGTAGCTCACTCCTTTGATGCCAGCACCTGGGAGGCAGAGGCAGGAGGATTTATGTGAGTTCCAGGCCACCCTGATCTACAATGTGATTTTCAGGACAGCCTGGGTACACAGAGAAACCCTTTTTTGGAAAAACGAAAAAACACAAAGAACAAAAATCCATCCAAACAAGTAAATGAACACAAGCTTCAGTTTTACAGGACTAGTAGAACCTCTATAACTAGACTTTCTAGTTAAGTAACTGTTCACTATGGGTTTTGTAGGGTTTTTGTTTTTGTTTTTTGGGTGAGTGGGGAGAGATCAAGACAGTTTCTCTGTGTTGCCCTGGCAGTCCTGAAACTCCCTCTGTAGGCCAGGAGAACCGCCTGCCTCTGCCTCTTCTGCCTCCTGAGTGTTGGGATTAAATGTGTGTGCCACCACTGCCAAGCTAACAGTTCATTATCTTAAAAGTCATTATAAAATTTTCTAATATGTCTAGCTTGTGTTCTTTTCTAAATGACTTAATATTTTCTCTGCATTGTTGTTGTGTCTATGTGATGGTGTCAGATCCCCTGAAACTGGACTTACAGACAGCTGTGAACTGCTATATGGGTACTAGGAATTGAACCCAGGTCCTCTGGAAGAGCAGCCAGTGCTGTTAAACCCTGAGTCATCTCTGCAGCCCCTAGTTTATGTTATTCTTAACTGTTAAATCTTACTGTCCTATGGCTAAAATCGAGTCCTATAAACATACCCCTATAACATCCAAAAAAAATATCCTGACCCTCAAGTCAAACCTAAATAAATCTCAGGTTGAATTCTTATTCTTTACTTTGCTACTTTAAAAAAAAAAGTAACTACATATAACAAAGTCCTGTTAGTAAAGGACTTTACTTCAAGCCCACCCTGTTCCAAAACAGTCCAAGCACTCTCCTTCCTCTCTTTGGCTCCCTTCAGACTAAGAGCCATGCGGATGTGGACTCCTCTTCTGGTTCAACCACTGACCAATCGGGTAATCTTGAAAAAAGCGGCTGTCCCTCCATCTTTCACCTTTCCTGCCTGCCTCACGACGATTACACAGCAGCTTTGTGTGGTCTCGGTACATGGCGATCAGGGGGTGGCTCACCAGACGGCCAGGCGGGGAAAGCACGAGTGGGGGGGGCCACACGGGACGGGGGACGGTACACGAAAGCAGGAGAAGGAGAGTGAGAGCAGAGGCAGGTGGGGTTAGGAACAAGGACAAACACAGAAGAGAAAGGGCAAGGGGGACTCTGAAGCAACGAGGGGAAGCAACAAGCTTGCCATTTGCCCTGTGGAGCTTGTGCGATGAAGGCGCTGCTCTGAGAACAGATCACAACAGGCACAGCTGCTCATGTTCACCCAGACACACCCATCCCGTCCCCGGCATGGTATCCCCCAGGGGGCAAAGTTATGAGACAACAAACTGCTCACTGCCTGCCAATCAGTGCAGTTAATCTGTTGAATGCCAGCTAACTATGTGCCCACTGTTGTGCCAAGTGCTAGTGCACTTACTCATCCAAACACTCGCTCGGGACTTTCTATGCGATGGGTGTGGTCCCAGATACTGAGGCTACAGCAAAAGACAAGACCATTGCAGACGGGCCGATCTAGACGAGGCCTCCAGCCACCAGGCTAGCTATCTTAACGCTAAGGAAGAAGGCAGCTGTAATGTGAGGTCCAACTTTGCCTAACGAGAAAGCCAGGGAGCTCTGTACATGGCTGTTACCTGATGGTATGAAGACAATGTTGATGCCAAACACAGTGTGAGTCAGCCAGGTGTACAAGCCGTAGAAGCCAGCCATTTTGAGGGAAGCATCGAACACCCCTCTAGAACATCCAAAGAGAAAAGAAAAGGTGAGCAACCCCAGCATCATATTATGGCTCAGAAAAATGATCACCTCTGAGTTTCTGGTAACAAACTCCAAACCGGGCAACAGCCCATCTCTGAGAATGCTATTTACTTTACTACGACACTGGACCTGAGTTCTAAGCTGCTCTTTACATATCTCTCTGATGAGAAGATATGTAAGCAACACATCCTCAAATAGTTTATTCACTGAAGTAACTCACCACCTTTCTACTCCCAGAGTGCCGCCTCCCCCACCCGCCCCACCCCCCCGCCCTAGCCCAGTGATAAACTCAAATTCAGGGCCTTATGCATGCTATACAAGCACTCAACTGAGCTACAAACCCAAGTCAACTTTCCACTCTTTTTTTTTTTTTCTTTTGGAGACATGGTTTCTCTGTGTAGCCCTAGCTATCCTAGAACTCACTCTGTAGATCAGATCAGGCCAGCTTTGAACTCAAGAGATCTACCTGTCCCTGCCTCCTAAGTGCTGGTATTAAAGGCTGCCTGGCTAACTACTTCTAAAGCAGATATTTTGTGGGTAACAATTATATTTCATAAGTATAAACAGCATATGTCTAAAGACAGAGTTAAGTCCTAAGAAATCCAGGTTGCACCCAGTCCACATTCAGAGAGAACAGATGAGGTTGGGAGTATAGCTCAGTGGTGGAGCAATGTTTGCACACTCCAGGTCCTGGGTTCAAAGCCCAGCACAGAAGGGAAAGAAGAGTCAGAGGGAGAACAGAAGCAATGGGGAGAGAGAGAAGGGAAAGAAACAGAAGGAGAAAGGGAGGGGCCAGGGAGGAGTGAGGAATAGTCTACCTTATACTCTGACAATTTTTCTTTTGACAGCATTTTCATACATATCCTCTATGCAGCCAAGACTACATAGTAACTTCTGGTATCAAATAATGCAAGTCATCCGGGACATGCACAATTACTAACTCCAGGGTAAAACCAGGCAGGAAAACACATGGAGTGGAAACAGGCATATATATCCTGCGGTGAGATCTTCACTCGGTGCACGAGGGCGTTTCGTTTCTGCTTTTCCGTTGGGAGAGAATACAGCAGCCCTGTGTGGAAAGGGCAGCAGCCTCACATAATCTCAGCTACCACAGAACCACAGAGGCCTGGGCTCTGTACGGGGCAGACGCTCACAAGAAGGGGAAGCTGTCACTGAAAAAGAGGACGGTGACAGCAAAGGTGACACTGCACACAGAGGAAAGCAAAAGGCTTTCTGCAAAGACTCCAGGAGGGAGGCCCCCAGAGCAGAGGCTACGTCTGCAGTCTGGTGGCTCTGAGACACGCTGGTAAGGATAGCTCCCCATCTGCAGAAACTACTGCCGCCCTTACTAACGATGTCACTCAAGAATGTGTCATGTGACTCACAGCAAAGACCCAGATTTAAATACGGGAAACGAAGGAACCGAGGAGCCCAAGAAGAAAGAAAGGATGGGGACAGAACTGAAACACGGTTAAGGAGAGAAGGAAGAAGGGGAGAGTGTCGTCTGGCCTGGAAATGTGAGTCCGAAGAACGATGGAAACCTCTGGGAGGAGGCGGAAATAAGGCTTAGTAGGCATGAGACGCAGCATTCTAATTACAGGAAGGCACAGGACACCCTCAAGGGGGCAAGCCTGGAGAGGAAAAGGAGGCAGGTTGTGTAGACCTAAGGACAATGACACATCAGCCAAGGAGGACATGGAATCAATGTTTGTGGTAGGAGAAAAACCACCAGAGTGTAGCATTGTTAGAGACCACGAGACAAGGATCTGGGTAGGCCAAGTCAACCCCATCAACTACTACTGTGAGGGGAAGTGGAACTTGTTTAGAATCAGGGAGAGGCCAGTGTGAAAAGGTGTGGTTGTGGCCTTCCCTTACAAGTTCGGACAGTAAAATTAAGTTGCACCAAGGATGCAGTAAAGTATCCCAGCTGAGGCCCCAGCACCAGCTCCCCCTGAGACAGACCACCTGTGGGACAGACACAGCCTCTTCCCTCCCACCCGAACTGGGGCTATATGGAACGGTGATTACAGCGACTCTTCGATAATCTGCGGGCCCTAAACACTGCACTACACATTGTTCACAGTTCCCAGCCCTCCGAGGGAAAGATAACCCGCCGCCTGGACTGCTGTGCTCAGGACCAGGCAGCAGAGCAGCACACCCTAAGAACTTACTGGTTGAGAGAACATCTCAATGCCCTCAAATCTTCCTTGCACTACCCAAAAAGACCGCGCCCTGCCCCAATCTTCCACTTAGGACTTCTGGTGTCCCAAGATAGAAAATATGTTTTTCTTTTTTTAAATACTGAGTTCATAACAATTTGGTATACTATCAACACGAAGCAAATACAACTTTATCATTTAAACTGTAAAGTAAAGGTTATATGAACAAGAAATGCTAAACTTATCCTCACTCATCTCCCAGATTCAGAAGCTGGTAGGCGGGGCTACAGCTCGGCGGTAGAACACTCTCCTACCGCATGAGGCCCTAGGTTCAAACATCAGCACTTGAAAATAATCACAATGCACTTACAGTTAAGCCCCTACAGTCCCCACCAATGACCAGATACCACCAATGTGAAGTACAGTCTAGAGATGCACATGGACACGTACTATATGATAAAGCATGCTTCATACACATGAGGGGATGTAGCTGGACAGCAGAGCTTGTGAAGAATATGTGTAAGGCGCACCCACGCACACCCACACCCACAGACACTCAAACACACACACACACACACACACACACACACACACACACACACACACACTCAAAGACTGATAATAATTTGCTCTCCTAATCAAAGAAAAGCCTCCCTGGCACTAACTAACAAACTGCACACAATTGTGCACAATACAGTTAATTGGGCTAGTTAATTCCATCACTTCAACAACAAAGTTTAAAATGAAAAATCATTTCGTTCTCTCATTGGAGGAAATTAATCCACATCTCTTTTGTACAGCCAAATGCCATGTGCACATTCCTACACTGTTAACAAGGAAAAACAGCACAACATACATCATCCGATCTCTTTCAAAACCACCAGACTCAGACTTGTGGCAGTTTTTAACCACAACTGAGTAACATCTGTGCTCTGTGATGTCCGAGTGCCAACAGGCATTCCCTTCCACCCTCTTACCATCACAAAAGACCCCCTGTAAAGGCCAAAACAAAGTCTGCATCTGGCCACCACGCTAATAATCGTGTACTCCCCAGTTTCCCTTCATTCTTGAGCACTGCCCCTGGCCCCGCTTTTTTAGGGAAAGGGTTGCTGCTTGTGCTCAGCCTTCTAGGACTGTTTGGTCCCTAGTGATTTTTTTAAGCATTCTGGGAACTTGTTCTTTAATTGCGTCTCCAGGCTTTCCTAGCACTCAGTGGATGACAAGAATCAAACCCAGGACATGCTGGCCGCGTCTCTCCCCTCTTCTGACAGTTCAGCAACCAGCGAAGAAGAAACTGACAGCAGCCAGTGGTGTCTCTTCTAACAAGATCACCTCCCCGCTCAGACTTTCTGTCATTACAGACTGACATGTGACCCCCTGGCCCCACACACGGACACCACAGCGCAGACCCCTCTTCCAACCTCACTTCTCAAAGAAGGCAGGACACAGTACCCAGGTCCAGCTACGCTCCACGTACACAAACACCACTGCGGAAGAAAATCTCCAAAAGCTGTGCACAGGCAGCCTTCCTCTCCTCGCCCCTATGTCTCCCCCTGGCAAGGCTAAGAATATCTGCGCTGAGTGACAGGAAAGGTGTGTGTCTCATGCCTCATTCATACAGTCTTGGCTGTGAGCCCTCCCACTCCTGACCGGCGGGAAGTCGTCATTTTTCTAAAGTGAAGAAGAAGCAGACAACTCTGAAGCAAACTGCAGACTGAGAGCGACCAACCACAGCTCAGAAGGGCCACGTACTTGGCGCAACACACACCACAGGCAAGCAGCAAGCACACGTCTAAGAGAGAAAACAGAAAATGAGTCAAGTTCACAACCACTCCCACCTGCTCCAAATGTCTACATCACTTACCCCCTCCGCCTCTAAAGAGCTAACAGGGAGAGCGCCAGACTACAACTCCTCAGGAAGTATCGACTCTGGGTTCTCCACCTAAGCCGCCATCCTCCCTCCCATGGGCTCTACCCGCATTGCAACACCGTGCACCTATAGGGAGCAAGCTACTGGAGGGCCATGGGCAGCAAGAGACAGCGCGCATCGTTCTGACTGGGGAGGCCCCAGCGCCCTTGACCACTGGAGGACCGCCATTTCTTCCAACTCATACACCATGAAGCGCAAGTTTCAGTTTTAACAAATTGAAGGTCTGAGTCAACCCTAAATGCAGCAAGTCTATCAGATCCATTTTTCCAACAACTCAGATAATCACCAAAGTATTTCCAACAAAATACTTTAATTAGAACATACAATTATACTTAAGAGCCAATGCCACAGTACAATTAATAAACTACAGGTTAAACATATACTGTAGAGTAAGAGGGAAATCCAAAACTTCCTGCCTTGCTTTATTGCATGATCTACTTTAAGACAACAGTCTGGTGTTCTGGAAGCAAATGCCGGTACCTCCTGGTTTGCACCTGTACACCTGACCTCTGACGTCACCACCCGCCTCCCCTCTCTCCTGCTTCACCTGCCTCAGAGACCGGCTCCACGGTCACTGCACAGAAACCCAGCAACTTCCAGGGTGAGAGTCAAGGTCACAGCCGTGCACTTGGCCCAGAGGCTGCTGAGCAGCCGGGGGAAGCAGAGCTCCACAAGGAACAGCTGAGTCACGGGCAGAGGTGTCCCACTCTGGACACCGTCTGAAGACTCGGCAGTAGAGACACACACTCATTCAGAAGTGTCCCACTCTAGACACCGTCTGAAGACTCTGGCAGTAATGACACACATTCATTCAGCACTTCTATATAACTAGCACTTACAATATACATTTTGTATCCTTACTGATTATGAATGATCAATGCTTAAAGT